CGGGCCGCCGACGTCGGCTGGACGCCGGGGGGTTTGGTCCCAGCGAGGAGCTGAGCAGCGCCAGGGTGAGATGTTCAAAGCCCTTGAGCGCAGCTGAGCAGCACCCAGTATTAGCCAGAGGAGCGCCGGAAAGGCGGGATGGGAAGTGGCGAAATCCTGCTCAAGGGCTTCGAGCCAGGAAAAAGGAAAAAAAAGAAAAAAAAGAAGAAAAAAAACAATCCAAGCTATTTCAAGAGGGCAATCACAGCTCTTGACGCCTTGATGTTTCTCAAGTGTTCTGCCCCCTCCAGTCAAGGTTTCCGAGCCTTTTGGGGATATTGCAGGAATTTTGCAAGCCTTTCGCTGGCTCGTCCTCGGGGAGCATCAGCAAGGGGGGACCCGTCTCCCGAAGGAAAGGCACGTTTCTCACCGGATTCAGGATGTCTGAATCCCTCCTCTCGTAGAAATCCTGCTGCTTTCCACCACAGCTGCTGGGAGCACAGAGCTATTTCTTTGGTTAAGGCATGTAGCCCAGGTATGAAAGGGAAAAGGAGCTTAAAAAAAACAAGGTTTAACTCTCATAAGCAGTGATTTTTTTTTTTTAGCTTATTTTATGAGATTGAGGAGGAGAGAGGAGGGAGAAATGCAATTTCTTCCCATCCAGGAGAAGCACGCTGACACCAGAAAAAAAAAATCGTGTTTTTTTTTTTCCTCCCAGTTAAACCAGCCTCTCTGCATATTTCTATCTCATTTCTGCCTAGGTGATGGCTGAGAATGACAATTGCCAGCCTGTTCGTTTGCCACGAGCTCGTTATGGCCCTGGAATATAGATACACACATTATCCCAGCCACGGGAAAAGGTGGAGGTGCTGCGGGAACTGGCACTGCCGCCGTTCCCACGGGGGAGCCGAAAAGAGAAAAATTCACCAAATGCTGAATTTATGCCTGGTGATGGAGCACTAAACCATGCGCTTGCAAGGTCAGCCTGCCCTCGACCTGTTTTTGGTTTTAAATTTCTTTATTCATTGTATTTGTCTGGAGCCATCTCCTAGAAAAACTGCCGGCCCTTGGGAAGGCAGTGGTGGCACTTTCCCACGCAAATTCGTGTTTGTCCCTTGAGGGGAAAAAAGAAAAAAGAAAAAAAAAAAAAAGGAAAGATTGGAGAAAGGATTTTAACCCTCGGGATCCCCAAATTCATCCAAGCTGCTGAGCAAATGAGACTCGGCCCCACGTTAAAGCATGGGCTTTGGGGCTGGAGGGAAACTGAGGTACCATGGAGCCGCTTCATCCAGCTTCACAGGGAGCCACCGGGCTTAGATGGCCACTTGTTACGTTTTATGGAGTATTTTCTGCCTAAAACACCCTCTGGCCACGCTACGTTGCCTCTGCAAGACCCAAACTTCATTGCGGGGAAACATTACCCTCCTTCCACCTTCAAACGAGTCTTTGCTCTTTCCACCTACATGCGTTTCGGTGCGATGTGTCCCTGGAGCACCAATCCATTTGATCAAGCTGTTGTCACATTGCCATTTGCTAGGCAGTGCCACTTGGGGATATATATATATATTTTTTTTCATCCTTATGCAGCCAATTAAATTACCGGAGATTCATTTTCAAAGGGCTTCTTGGTGTTGACTTTTATTAGCACGCATTTGAGTGACTTGTTAGCTGAGATTGTAGCCCTCAGAGCCAGGGTGCAGAGGGACCCAAGTGAAACCAGAACATTACGTATGTGCATAGTATATCTATTTATACATAAATTATATTATATTTTTTCATTTATATATAAATAAATGCATTATTTGAATGCTCCCAAATCCAGGCTGGGAAGAGCCAGGCTCCTTGTCCTTTCCCAAATCTCCAGCGAGCCTGTCTTCAGAGCCAGCCTCCCCTCTGAGCTCAAAGCACTTCCTCCTTCGCTCCTTCTCTCCTGGGGGTCCCTTGTCGTTATAATAATTAGGGATGTAGTTTTTAAGATGCTGCTTCTCTGCAGTGTAGCCCCAGGTGAGGCGGGATGGGGTGACTTGTCCTCTGCTGCCCGCGGGAAAATTTCCCGCGGCTTTTCCACGCTCCCGCAATAGAAAGTGCTGCGGGCTCAGAAAACCCGGAAGAAGCCGGGGGCTGCTCCTGTTTCCTCCCTTTCCGAAAGGGCCAAAATGGAGAAAGAGCAAGTTTTTCCTCACCAAGTTACGTGGCTGCTCTGGACCCATTTTTTTTCCGCTTCGAAAGGGTAAATTCAACTAGCAGAAAACGCTGCTTAAAGAAGAGGAGAAAGCGAGCCGGGCTGCCATCGATCGCTGCCGAAGGCGATGGCAAAGGTAAGCGCATGCCTGCGAAAAAACAGGGGAAAACCAAAGAGAAAAGAAACAGAAAACTACCCAAATCTGTGCTTCTTCCCTCCGGCATGCCTCCTACAGGGATGCAAAGCCGCAGCAAGGACTTGCCACGAGCAGCGCCTAAAGATCTGCCGCGAGCAGCAGATTTAACCACCCAGGGTGAATCTGAGCTCGGGAGGTCACGCGTTATGTTTCCCCCTCCCTCCCCATTTTCACCCCCATTCGCTTGGGCTGCCTTAAGCGCTGCTGCTCGCTGCGGCATCTCCAACCCCCTCGCAGGGCCTGGTAATGAGGGATAAGAGGGGAGATTAAGGGCTGACGAGCGCGCGGCGCTGGCAGCAGAGCATCGATCTCGGCAGCGATGATGATGAAGAGGAAAAAAAAAAGAAAAAAATAAAGCGGGAGGAGGTTTGGGGACTGTTTGGCCCCTTGGTTTCTTGCGGCTGCCTGGGGAGCGACATCCTCCTCCTTGCTTTCTGACCCTGCCCACTTTCAGGGCCCCCAAAACCCTCTTTTTCCTTCCCAGGAAAGCCGGACAGCAAGGAAAAAAGGGTACTTTTAGAAGAGGGGAAAAAAGTAATAACCTAAAAACCTCTCCACTTTTTGCACACACACAAAAAAGGCACTTTTTTTCTTTTTCTTTTTTTAAACCAGCTCGGCTCTCCCTTGGTGTAACTTTTAGTCAGAGCCGTGGGAATTTGCCCCAT